GTAACAAAATTTCTCCTTTATAATGTATTGTATTTATGCGTACAGTTAACCCCTTGGATTCAGTTGAATTGGCAATGGGTTACGTAAGTGGCCAGCATCCCGGGCGTGCAGTGCCGGGCGGGCATGAACACCTATGAGCGGTGAGAAGACTCTGTGCCTCCCCTTTGAAAAGTTATTTTGTGCAAACTTTTTTAGCTTTATCGTCATTTTCCAATGTCCATATTTGTCTTTTGATTTGCATTATCCAGATGGTAATTACCTATTTTTCTGGCACAGACTCCATATCTCTATGTAGTAAATAGCTCAGTGCAAGAAAAAAAAAAAACATGGAACATTTGTTATTTGTGTCATATATCTCATTTTTCTGTAATTTTCAATTTTATGTAATACAACATGCGCTGCCAGTGACAGCAGCCAGGAATACAGTGCCCAGCCTGGAAATGGTGTCCTCCCTGGAGACGCCACTCCTCCAGTCACTGCTTACACACGTTACATATTTTCCATAACTCGCTGAAACTTTTGTGTATGAAAACTATGTATGTAATATATACTGGCAGTTCACTATAAAGTTCAATTCAAACGGATTCTACTGTATTAGTGCAACCTTATAACTGGTGACCCCTAGACCCAACCATGCTGCTCAAGAGGACGTCTGGTGAGATGAAGGACCATGTCAACCTTCTCTCTATCCATGTTATAGCATTGAAGCTGTCCCCCTTTTGCCCACAAGTAGCTGCATCTTGGTTCCAGCATGCAGAGATCCACTTTCGGCTGAGAAAAGTCACAGACCCCCGCACCAAGGCAGATTACATGCTAGAGATGATCCCCGAGCAAATGTTTCCCCTAATTTGCTGAATGGCTGGACAACCAGGACCAGAACAAGGATGTCGAGTATGAAAACCTGAAGAGTTATCTCCTGCAAAAGTTCACTCTCTCGGTCAGTGCCTGTGCTCAGTGTCTCCTGAGTCTTCCCCAACTACCTCTGGGAGACACAACCGCACAAGCTGTATGGAATGAAATGCAAGCCCTCGCTACACTGCCTGACCTCGACCCTACCACCAAGAAACCACGGTGTGTGAACTTAATGTGAGAGCTTTGGCTGCAGCGCCTCCCCCCTCTGAGATCTACCCTGCATGGAGATGATGATGTTCCCATGAACGACCTCATAAAGAAGGCAGACAATCTTATCAATGCTGCCAGAGCTTCCCAAAAACCTGACACAACCTACTCTGCCTCTGCCAAGGACCTCCCTGACATCAACACTGCTAACAAGCAATGGCCCAACAGCCAGGTGCGACACTACAAACCAGGAAATTCCATTCCCCAGCCATCACAAGGATTTTGTTATTACCACTCTAAGTTTGGAGCAAGGGCCCGCAAATGCCTCCCTGGATGCCAATGGCGAAAAAATATGTAATGGGGCCACCACTACCTGCTATGGTGGCCTCCCAGAACCCTAATCTCAGGAATGTCAACGCACATGACCACTCAGCTTTGGATTTCTTTATTACACACTTCTTATCCGGTGGCAAATTTCTCTTGGATGCAAGCACCTTTTGTTCTCTATTCCCAGCCAAGACAGAAGACAAACCTTGCTCCTTGACACAACCATCAAATATCAAACCCATTGCAGCCAAGGGAAGCACCATTCCAATGTATGGTACCCGAACTGTCCTCATCCAAGCAGCTGGATGCAGCTTCATTTGGGACTTTATCCTTGCTGATGTTAAAACACCACTCCTGGGAGCAGACTTCCTAGGTCACCACGGACTACTCATTGATATCACCAACTATAGACTGTTGAATATGACTACCTTCCGCTCCACACCCCTTGCATCACACCACTGGTACACTGAAATCTGCACTGTGGTATCAGACACCCCTTATGACATCCACTGCAAAGATCTCCCAGACGTTTTCCATTGTAAGTTCCTCCTTAGGAAACCCAGTGTTCTGTTGGCTTTCTGTTTGAAAGCTGTGATTCATTGAAAAATTGGTCGAGTGATTTCGTATTACTGTAGTTTTTGATTGTCTTTTGTGGGGGACTTTGTCCAAGGCTTTGGTGAAGTCGAATATTATGGCGTTTACCTGATTCATGTCTTAGAGTCTAGAAATGTCATGATAAGTGACAATAAGTTGTGATTCGCGTTATCGTTTGGGTCGGAATCAGTGTTGTGTGTCGATTAATATCTTTGTGTCAAGATGATTGGTTAAGTGTTTGTGTATGATGTGTTCGAAGATTTTGGAGACAATGGAGGTAAGAGAGATGAGGCAATATTTGGATGGGTCAGGCTGGTCACTTACTTTGAAATTTGAGGGGATGTCTGCACAGAGCCAGTCGGATGGGAGAGAAGAAGATCTTGGGGATTGCGTGAAAATGATTTGGAGGATGGGGGCACAGGTTTTAAGGAAGAAGGGAGGGATATTGTCAGGACCAGTTGATTTGTTGGTGTCTGGTGATTCAAGAAGATTCTGGATTCCGTCTGTCCTTATGTCAAGACTTGTTCATGTTTAGTGTAATAGTTTTCTTGTGTGAAGAAGGAGTGGAACACTGTGTTGAGTAGGTGTGCTTTGAGTTCTGGTCTGTTGACAAGAGTATCATTGTTGTCTTTAAGTGCAGTCTTGAAAGACTTGAAGAACATTGTCTGTGAATTTTTTATTGATATGTTTGCATTCAGCCTTTTTTATGTTTTTGCAGAAGTTTTTTGGTGGAGTTTTACTCTCTCGCAACGATCCTTTCTAGAGTGCAATAAGTCTTATTTCCTCCCGGTATCAATAGTGGCGCGCAGGCCAGTCCTGGGACACACCTGTGTGCCGCCCTCATAGGGCAAGAATATGAGAGTGCAAGCTCCAATATCATACCCCTTTTATAGCCATGGTAGTTTAGAGAAGTTTACCCTTCTAAGAAATGAACACGATGTTTTGGTGTGGTTATAAAGCTAAAATGCAGTCTCAACACTTGTTGCAATGGTATTTTCTTTTAGTTTAGAGTCCAGACTCGCTAATAATGCCAAGTATGTTTCTTTCAGTAACATATTTGCTAAGATATGGTAAGGGAAAATCAGAGATTAAAAAAAAAAAAAAAAAAAAAAAAAAAAAAAATATAATATATATATATATATATATATATATATATATATATATATATATATATATATATATATATATATATATATATATATATATATATTATATATATATTATATATATATATATATTTATATAAAATGCTCTAATGCATTACTGCACATGCCATGCTTTGAAGCAGCCATACATGCAGTGGGCCACTTCACACTCCCTGCAGTAGCTCCTCCTGTCTTGACTCAAACACCAACGACACCTCCTTTGCCTGCTGTGGGGGTTCTTGGACACCAAGTGTTGTCACTGCTCCAGAGCCCGCCTGGCTGCAACGAGTGGATGCGTTGCGGTGTGGGCTCTGCTGGAGTCGGCCCCTTCCCTAAACTGCCCTTAGGGTCCAGAGATGAGGCCAGATCTGAAGGTCTTTTGAAAATCCCTTCTGCCAAGGGCACAATGGCTATCCCAGGCATTGACGATGGCCATGTCATATAGAAAAAAGAAAACCTTCCTGTACCATACCTTGGACCGGCGAGGTGTTAGGTAGTAGTTCGCCATCTGATCACCAACGTCGACACCCTTCATGCCGACATTGCAATCCTTTACTACCAACGACTTATCACCTTCCATTGCAGCGGTATGGACTGTAGACAGCTTGGTGTCTGTGCTTTTGTCCTACCACATCAAGGCCAACAACCCCTGTCTTGCTGATGCGCTAATCGACATCACCCTTCTTCATCACCCCTCACCTCCCCGTACCGTGGACCGTATGCTGTCCTGGTACTGTCTCAGCATTGCCAGGAGGAGCAACTGGGTGTCCATTGACTGCTTGAAGTCAGCATAACTCTGGCCAATGAGACAGTTCACACTGTACCTTGCTCAGATGCACCTGCCCATGTTTTGTCTCCTGAGGGTCCAATTTCATCGCACTCTGATTGGCTCATTTGCCAACCCAACCAACTCAACCTCTGACCAGCCATGGATTCTCTTCTGGGGAAGTAACATGTGACATGCCGATGCGGAGCTTCTGGAGAGAACATGGCGAATCAAGGGATGAATTTTATAATCTTACAAGGCCACTCACTGAATATTGTAACAAAATTTCTCCTTTAATCATTAGTTGTATTTATTGATACACTTAATATGGACTTTATGTGTAGAGTTAATATAACTTTGTAGTATTTGAATAATATACAAGTGAGGCTACTGGCAAAGAAAATCATCCCAAAAAAGAATAGTGTTGTATATTTTTCATAACTCGCTCAAATTTTTGTATATGAAAACTATGTATGTAATATATAACAGCAGGTCACAAAAAGTTCAGTTCTACTCGGGTTCCACTATTCTATTTTATACAGTTTTTTTTTTTTTCCATTAAATTTTGTTGATTATTTTCCTTTTTGTGTGTGTATTCTGTGATTTTGTTGAGTATTTGGGTAAGAATATTAATGGCAGTACTCATTGCTTGAATAGAATAAAGAGTAAAGGTGGGTGACCATTGCACATACACACCAAGAAATAAAAACTATGTGAAAATGAGGTAAACGACATGAAACTAAAAAAAAAACAAGAAAGCAGCAATTAAGTTGTGGTGATCATTGTTGTTTTGTCTTGTCTTTCCCATGAAATAACCCCATAGCAAAACTCAAACTTAGAAACAAAATAAGAATAGAGAAGTAAACAATATAAGAAAATTAAAATTTAGTATAATAGTAATTGTAGACCCATGTTTCTTGTCCTTTCTACCATGATATCCAGCAGTTGGTCCTTGCTTCACACAACATGCCCTCTTATGTTCAACCAAAAGATTAAGAGACCTTCAGGAACATACTGAAATAAATTGTTTTTAGTCCTTTTGTTGCCCAGAGATTTCAATATAAGCAATATAAGAGGATTCTAGGTGCAGTTAATGAAATTCACACAGTTTTTCTTATCATTCCCCTTTTTTGAAATTATTCCTCCTCACTCCTTTCAGTACTCCTTAGTGTATTAATCTCAACTTGATAGGAGATGGATGAAAATGTTGTGGGAGGGTAGTGGTATGAGAAAATCTTAAAAGACAGTTCTTTTTGTTTTGTGTAGTGATTTTCTATCCCTATCTATCGTCAAAAATATTTGATGTAATGCAGATTGATAGGTAAAGTCATAACACAAAAACAGTTCAGGATTTATTCCTGCCTTTTGCAACATGACTTGAAGTAAACATTGTGTCAGTTAACCTCCAGAAGTACCACTATAACTCTTATATTGAGAGATCAGCAGAATACCTTTCAGATATCAAGTGATGAAGATATTTACAATCATTGCATAAGTAAATGCCTTTTTTGGATTTGATCCAATTAGATTGTTGGGTGTAATGAAAAATAAACTGTCTTTCAGGTTACATGCCTATGCCAGGAGGAGGACCAAATATGCCATACAGCCCGGCTCAAACTGGTGCCAATACTGTGTACCCACCCTACCCCACACAACCTGGAGGCTATCCTCCATCAACCACACCATACCCCGTCTATCCTCCGGCAAGCACAGCGGGCTATCCTCCCTCTCAGCCCCCCACTTCATATCCGCCACCTTATTCTGCTGGGGGCATAACATATCCTCCTTACCCGTCCACTACATCCAGCGTCCCTACAGGGGTGAGTTGTCCCAGATGCAGATGTCTGTATATTACAGAAATTATGTTTATAGTAGTTTCATATTGATTAGAATAGTTCAGCAAATCCTCAATAATTCACTTCTTCAGCAGGCTACAGAGACTAGTGGGGTGACTGGAACAAGCACAACAACTAGCACCGGCACAATCACAGAAGAACACATACGCGCATCCCTTATCTCGGCTGTAAGTGACCGTGTTCGAGCCAAACTTAGAGACAGCTATGGGGGCTCTCAGGCTGAGGTATCAGTGTTGCGGCAACAACAAGCAGACCTCAACCAAGGGAAAATCAAGCTTGAGGGCCTTATCAGCAAATTGGAGCAAGAGCAAGTAAGTAATTCTATTTTGTCTTTTTGAGACACATTTGTAAATTGAGATGACAGCTTTAAAACCAAATTAGAGTTCATTTTCAGGTCTATCAGGGATAGCCTGCTCTCTCGTACCTGATAGTCTCCTTGTCTTCTATATATGCTACCCAATGCCTTCTATATGCCCTGAACTTGGCTTTTCTTACGCAAAGCCAGACAGGAAGCACATTAGTGAGACTTTACTGTCTTCTCCAGTGTTGCCCTTCACTCTTTCCCTCCCCATTCCTCACAAAATGTCTCTACATCCCCCCTCTCCCCTGTATCTATTACTCCTACATCTTACTTTTCACATCTATCTCCTTCCTCTCCCAATCAAATTCTTTTGCATTTCTAAATACAGACACCCTAATCCTTATCACTGCCCTGACACCCTCTCCCTCCTTGCTCTACCTGTAGTAGGCAATCCAAACATTCCACCCTATCTTTTCCTACCACACCCTCTCCTCCACCTACCTCATATTCTACCCCTCAGATGCCTATCTCCTCTTCTCCCCCTCTAAGGAAAACCTTTGTTTATCAGACCTCTCTAACCAAATCTTAGGGCTATATAATCATTACACAAGATAACATTTCCACGTATTATCTGTCTTCCAGTCTCTCTGCTCACATTCTCTCTACACTCAAAGTAACTGCCAGCATCCTTCCTCCTCCTATTAACCCTTTGTCTGCGGGTGGCATCTCCTGTGAATGCCTTGGCGGAGCTGGGCCTAATCTGCAGGTGCCAACCCTGCAGATGCCATGGTGGTTTGGGCTCAGTTCGTGGGTGGAATCATTTACACGGGAATGAATTGAGAATACACTTTGAAAACTGACGAATCTGGGAGACATGGCATACGTACTACATTGTAATTTTTCGAAAAACCTTTTTGCTATCTCTCTCTCTCTCTCTCTCTCTCTCTCTCTCTCTCTCTCTCTCTCTCTCTCTCTCTCTCTCTCTCTCTCTCTCTCTCTCTCTCTCTCTCTTCTCTTCTCTCTCTCTCTCTCTTCTCTCTCTTTCTCTCTCTTTCTCTCTCTCTTTCTCTCTCTCTTTCTCTCTCTCTTTCTCTCTTTCTCTCTCTTCTCTCTTTCTTCTTTCTCTCTTCTCTCTCTCTCTCTCTCTCTCTCTCTCTCTCCTCTCTCTCTCTCTCTCTCTCTCTCTCTCTCTCTCTCTCTCTCTCTCTCTCTCTCTCTCTCTCTCTCTGTGTGTGTGTGTGTGTGTGTGTGTGTGTGTGTGTGTGCGTGTGTGTGTTTGTTTTTCTATGTGCATACAAACTTAGCTTCAGGGTATTTGATCGATGTGGGCATAGATTTTTTCCCTTTTCAAACAGTGCTATGGGTTTATGAATGTTTTGAAATCTATCACACAGAGGTACTTCATAGTGCAAATAAACATTATATTATGAACTTGTGTTTATGTTACATGTTGATTTCTTCATGTATGTGGTATTCACGACATAAGAAATTATGTATTTCACTCGCAAAGTTCATTTGAAGAAATTAAGAAAATGAAGGATTCCTGATTTTTAATTATTCTACTCTTGATCAAAAACACTCTGTTATAAGCTAATATGGAGTATTCAGTATTATTACAATTGGCTATTATTCTGGCAAAGTCAAGAAGTTGGCAACAATGAGCGTTTGAAAACTTAGAAACACTTAAATTATAAAAATTGATGTCAAAGCAATCATGCTCATCAAATTTCGGAGAGCAGCTGGGAAGTGAATTGCTGAGGTGAGCACAACGTGAGAAAAACCCTGGAGCACATGCCCGGCCTATACAGATAATCCCTGTTTGGCAACCCAAGTGGACGCTGAAAAAGCCCACGCACATTGAGTTAATTTTCCCAGTACACCCCTTCCTCCCACTTCCTTCCAACACATTCTGTTCCCCCCTGCTTCATCTGCACCATCCCCCCTTCCTTCCCCATTATCCTTTCTGCTGATATGCATGTGACTCCATGTCATATGGAGTCACATGTGTATCCCCCCTTCCCTAGATTCTCTCCCTCCTGACATTTCTGCTCAAACTGTGATATAATCACCCGTCGCACTTGAGAACAAAGTTCGTCAGTTATGATTGGATATTCGTGATTTTTTGATATGTTATACATAAGCATAAAGTGATAAACACCACCAAGTTTCGTATCATTTGGCTAATAAATAATAAAGTTATTAACGAAAAACTAGTTTTTGAACAATCACAGCCTCTTAAAAATGGCATTTATCTATTGTTGAAAAAATTACCACCTATAGTCTATAGCAATACTTAGAATTTGCAAAGACCGGAGTTTGAAATTTCACTTTAGATTAGTGGGAATTTATTTTTTTCTAAATGCCCAGTCTTATGAACATCACGATATGAAATAGACTACTATTACCTAAAATGAAAATTTTCTCTAAGAAAACCATCACAAATATATTCAGCTTTTAAACGATCCAAACCCCATTAGAATCACCCAAGTATTTATGGATGAATTTTTAAAATGCTGATAAATTTTGTTTGTGTAGTTTTGAGATAATGGGCTCCGAAATTTTGGATTTCCCTCAATTTTTTATTTTTTATTTATTTATTTATTTATTGTTTTTTTTTTTTTTTTTTATTATTATTATTTTTTTAGAATTCTAATCTCTGTGGCAATCTTGCTGCATTCTATTACATTCACATGGTATTCTGAAGTGTAGCTGGTACATTGTCCCCTCCTTTTGCAAAGTACTAATGGTAATAACTGCACATAATTGTGGAATTACCGCCTGTCAACACAGGTTTTCCAGTACCTAATCTGGCCACGTGAGATATTTAAATGTATAAAAAGCTATTGCAGCTGTGATTAAGAAGTATTTCTGATCATATTACGATTATTAAATAATAGAATAACATCCATAGTTAGTATTGTCCCCTTACTTTGTTATATGGGCCTACTCTGCGATATGGTGTTTTGGAGGTAAGAGTTTTGTCTCCCAGAGCCCCAGGCTTGGCAATCAGCTGATGGGTAAACAGAGTTGCCAGCTAGCTACCAGAGAATTCCAAAATAAACCGAAAAAAAATACGAAAAAAAAAATTGTTGAGTAAATTTTCACGGACATAGCAATGTATACATCGGAGTGGGGGTGGGGGGGCGGGTTGTCAGAGATTTAGTCATAACTCCTTTAATTTTACATATTTAGCAAAAATATAATGTCACAAAATTGCCAAAGCCCACTAGATTACAGGAGATTTTTTTTTTTTTTTTTTTTTTTTTTTTTTTTCCAAAGTATTTTTGAAAATTTTCATTACGATGGCCCCCTTAAACTTCCTTTATTCCTTTTGCTAATCCCTACCTTACCCTACAGACTTCATTGCAGAATCACATAAATTTGATCTAATCACCCTTGTTATCTCTACCTTAGCCCAATTACTCATCCTGTCTACCCTTAGTCCTCTTTGTCCCTTTCAGTGCCATACTATTCCAAACTACTATATGACTTTTGACATGTAGCGCATTTATTCATCAGATAACCCCTCTCATTGATATCCCTTTCTGTTGTGTTGTATGACCTTCAAGGTCTAGCACATTTATTTTGCACTGTAACCATTAACCATTGCCAAAGAGGACAATTGGGAATGGTGAATACAATCAGATGCAAAATATATGAACTGAAATATGCTTTAATAGTATACCAAGACACTAGACCCCTCAGATGCATATTATAGCAGTCTTAAATTTTTTGTTTGTACACATTTTAAAAAGGCTGTCAAAATTCAAATGACTACATTTCATGTTGGTTGTGTACTAAACATATTTCTCTATGACAACAGACTGAATTAGATAAGAACATCAGGGTTTTACGTGAGAAAGAGGGAGAAATCAAGAATGTGCTGTCACGCTTGTCATCTGCTACGGAGCCACTGAATGTAGATGAAGCAGTCACTACCACTGCACCGCTTTATAAACAGTAAGTGTATAAAGAGTTTGCAAAATACTGATGATTGGTTTTGATGAAAGTGGAATCAAGATTGGTAATTATCTAAAATGCATTGTTTTCTACATTTTTTTATGTTGTGTATTTCTTGTTTCACAAGTGAATTTTTTCATATTTTATCAGATGCCTTTTTTTCCTTGTCACTTTATTTTTGATAAATATAGATTCTAGATTTATATGCAACTCAGTATATATACAGTATATTTTACAGATGTTATTTTACCAACTGGAAAAGAAACAAATAAAAGAGAGAGAGTGAGTGGGTGAGTGAGTGAGAGAGTATTTAGGTAAAATGAAGGTGAGTATGTTAATGAGAAAGTGTCAAAAGGATGATTATATATGTATAAATATATATATGCCTATGGTAATGGGGCCTGATCAATTTATTACGTAATATGCAACAGTCTAGACTTTGTGGCAAGGCCTAAGCAGTGTACAGCTGGCCCACCTGCTGCGAGTCATGATGCATTTATATATCATAGGCCATTACGTTGGATGGCTTTAGCCATTACCTCCACAAAGGTAATATATGTATATCTCCCCCTCCTCCCCCCACTCTAACATACAATCAGAGTAATAAGAGCATTCTCCATACTAATATATTCTTGTGTCCACTTAGGTTGTTGAATGCTTATGCTGAAGACCAGGCCACTCAGGATGCCATTTATTACCTTGGAGAAGCTTTGCGGCGAGATGTGATTGACCTTGATTGCTTTTTGAAGCACGTCCGTTCTCTCTCACGGAAGCAGTACCAGCTGCGTGCAACAATGATCAAGTGTCGAGCCAAGGGGAACATGGCTGGCTGAGGCGTTGAATATGCAAGGATGGCTGGATTTATGTGGTGTATGTTATTAAGCTTGATTTATGAGTACTAGCATCAACATAGGCATGCTAAATGTGAATCACTATTAGCGTACTGGATAAGAGTTGATAGGGTAAAATTCATACTTTTGAATACGTGATCAGTGTTAAAGTTATCTTGTGAAATCAGAATGGGTTGTAAAATGTATCATTCTCAACAGTGCAATCAGTTTTAAAGGGCATTGCTGAATGAAATGTTCCATGTTTACTTATTTTTTCTTGTATATACATTATAAGTGAATTCTAAGATTTGTGATCATCCAATGACAGAAGTGGCTCATTGATTCCTTTCTTCTGTAAAAAAAAGTGTTAGAAAAATAGGATGATGAAATAAATGAATGAATGAATAAACAAGTAAATGAAGATATGATTGCTTCTGAGTAAGTCAAACTGAAAATATAGCTAATTTTCTGTGCAAATAGATACAAATATATTGGAAATTACTTATATCCATGAAATAATAAGCAATGTAAAAATTTGTCAGTTTTATTTGTTACAATTTGCCTGTATAATTATTTAAGGTTCTTGATTAATAAATTTTGGTACAGAAAAAAATTATATATATAACAGGGGAGAGTTATACACTGTGAGAGACACAAAGTTGGGAGGGTTTCAGCATGTCACTATTTAGTTTGTTTGCATTTGATTTTCCTTATATTATGTAGTTCTGTAATCGTAGGGAAAGCAATAGTGATAGATACATTTTCAGATTTTTCCTCATTTATAAACATACAGTATATGCACTGCTATGCTAAATGAATTTTTTGCTTACATTTATCTTCCACCACAATTTTCTTATTGGAAAAACAAAGAAAGAAAAACTATAACAGTAAAAAAAATAAACAGAACATTAAGCAAATACATGCTTGTATGAGTGTTGTCAAGAATTTGTTTTGATGTAAGGGAGTAAAAGGGGGGAAAAATAAATCAAGGGAAGAACGACAAGGACAAGTTAAGAGAGGAATTAGTGACAGAATGAATAGGGGAAAGTGAATTTTGCAGTATATTCAAAGGTGAAATTCTGTTTAGACTAGGAAGTGCATTCATGAGTATATGAAGCAGATGATAGGTAAGGGAGTGTATACATTATCTTACATGCATGTTCCATCTTTCTGTTGTCATTATTTTAATGGGTTTTCCATCTCTTATTCCTTTCAAACTCCCTTATCCTGCAAAGCTTTACCCAAAGTTTGTCTTATTTTTTCACAGAAAAAGCTCAAGTTGAACTATACTTTTTGAAATGTAACATAGCATTTTGGAAAGCAACCATGCTTTGATCCTATTAGTTTATAACTTTTTTCTGTCTAGAAAAAATAATGCTCATATATATATGTAAATATATCATACCTCTTAAGAAAAAAGACAGAAAACTTGATCATACTTATGGAAGTAGGCCTATAAGATTTTATTTGAGAAACTTTAAATTTTTCAGGATTCCATCCTAGCAATAGAATATAGACAGATAGGTCTCTTTTTTTTCTCAGTGTATGTTCTTAAAAGAACAAGTTAGCACTGTAGCTATTTTATAATGCTATAAAAATTATCATCATTTATAGGTCATTATCAATTTCAGTGCTCATCAGTGGTGAGGGAACAGTAAGGTTAAAGAAATATAGAAGTGCTATAAGACCTCTTTGGTTCATAGACAGATTAGGATATGTAAACCGTCATAAACTTTATTGATTTCATTAAAAGAATTTGTAGCCTGCAAGGACAGCATAACAGAATGCAAGCAAAGACACATCTTCAATAGAGCAAGGCAAAGTTAACCAATTATTTTTGCATTTAAATTTTAGGGAACTGTGAAATGTTTTCTGATGACACCATTAGAGCACTTGGAATTAAGTTTTAGTGATCCATTTGGATATAGAAATATATATATATTGTCTATACATGATTTTCAAAATGCTACAGAGTAAGTGTAGTATTTTGTTAGTGATGTAACAGTTCACAGGATGTTACTGTTTCAGAAACTTGTTATATCAGATATAACTTATATTTGATGGAACAGTTTCACATTATACCTGTATATGGTTTAACTTGAGTTTAATCAAAACTTTTCATGTTAAACTTGTAAACCCTCTATCATTGGTGGTATAGTTGAACTTGTTTTAATGGAACACTACTGTTATTCCTAGAGAAACATCTATCATATGTAATATAAGTAATGCTTGATTTTCAGTTTTATTATCCTTTGTAAAAAGTGTGCGTGAAAAATGGTACACTCATTGTATTTAAAGGACTTTTATATAAAAAAGGAAAATAATAAGTAAGGACAATGACCAGTTGAATTACCATGCCTCAGTATTCAGTCTAAATACAAATTGACTAGCTCATACATATTGGACGTGATCATTCTACCTGGATGCTGGCAAATTAAGATGCAATTGAAGTTAGTTTGAAATAAGTGCAAATGTGATTGACCCTTTGTAACTTCAAGTTTAATCAGAAGTTTGTCATTTGAGATTGCACTACACACTTTTTCATTTTTAATTAGGGATCATAATTTTCATGAGCAGGATGAGGGGGATAAATCTCTGGTGTATGCTTTTAACACTACATTAATGACGATCCATGTAATAAAAAATATATATATTTATTGACGAAATCAAGACAATGTGTGGCAAATGAGATTTTTTGTTTTCAATAAAGACACTATTTTCATGATGAAAGGCCAATGGACAAAAAGAACCTTCAGAAACTGTCAATTTAGGATGTCCTATAATGAGTGCTTGCTAGAATTTTTCAGCAACAATTCATTTTTTAGAGCCAATAAGTCCTTTTGCTTTGTACACTGGAGGGGAGGAGTGTTGGGAAAAGGAAAATGATGAAACACATGCATGACACCTAGTATATTTCAGTGAGTGCCGGCAAACTAAGATTTATATCTGGATATATTTTCCTTTAGGCCACACCAATTTTATTTGATGCTTCTCTGATTCGCAGCTTCCAATTTGTTTGCAGTTTGGAAAAAAAATAAGAAGGCCGGACCAAAAAACACTACAGGTTTTGCTTTCGGAAACCTGTACATATTGCCACTATCAGAGGCAGATGCTGCCAGAAACCATGCTAGAGGACAACCAATCAGGATGCATTTTATCTTTCAAACCAATGTGTTGCCTTTGGCTTTGTTGTGAACTGGTGTGTGCCACTATAACCTCTAGAACTAAACTGAATTTATAGTTTTAGTTTAGTTTAGTTTAGAGTAATTTATAAAGCATGTAGACAGTAGAGCAGACTGATGTTTTGTTTGTAAACCTGAGAATTTGCATGCCAAAGACGACAAAATGCCAGTGGAAAGGGACCCGACAAGGCAAACTTGTTGTTCGGGTTTTGGGTGTTTGCTTAAGGGTATTTTTTAAATGTTACTGGCTTATTAAACTTTGGAATGGCATTATACATGCAAAAAATACAATAATAGTAGTAAATGCAACACAATGTTCTTTATATATCAAAAAGGACAGAATTCATTACATAAGACGTGCCATGAAAAGCTGAAAACTGGAGCAATCCTGTTATTCTTTACGTTCTGGAAGCCCTATATCTTTACCCAAGACTTTTTTCCCCTGTTGCTCCATTTTTTCCAGAAAACATCTGAGAAGCAACAAATGAAATGGTGTGGCCTTAGTTTATTCCAAAATAGGTAACTGTTATCAGTTTAAAAAATCACTACAAAATACTAATATAATACACTATTATAAAATGGATGAAAATCAACGGATATTTTAAGCTTTCAGGATCACACACATACAACACATCTTGCCTTAACCATTATCCCATGTTTACCCTTTCTGTCTCAATGCTTAATCATAGTGCTATATGACTTCAGATGTATAGCACATTTATTTGAGCTTGCCATTAGCCATGTACACAGAGTCATAAGCATTATAAATTTAAGGCCTTCAAAATCTTAAACACGAAACTTTTTCTGTCATAGGTTTTAAAATGTTTTAAATTTGCAGTGTTGCATTAAAGGGTAGTGCATGATTCATTTGCATGATAGTAAAGCAGGTTCTTACATCCTCAGGCTACAATAGTAATTAATCGAGAGTAAGAAAAAATCTAAAGCACAAGGAAATCCTTCAAACCTCCACGTCATTTAAGTAATTAATCAATAAAGCTTTCTTCATATTTAAGGAAGAATTAAAGTCATTGCATTTGGACCAATGTTTGATATGTGAGAAGTGTTATATGGATTACGCTTAGTAAAATAAAATAATTACAAGACATGAAAACTGACTAAAAGACCTGGTACCTGGGAGCCGTTCTGCCTTCAAACTCAACAAAGGCGGCAGCAAGCGTACATGCAACTTCTCTTTAGTGTAAATAAAAGGGAGAACTTTCTCCAAACGGCCTACAATAATAACAACAGAATTTTCAAATCTCTATACAAGAAAGTATATAACTATTTCATCATCAGTCTGCAGTTTCCTTCTAGTACATGATAAAGATGAATATAACAGTAATTACAGTACAATAGATATATTAGTTTATATTATTATAAGCAGTGATGTTTGATCGGCTACTAACGTGAGAAAAGACACCAACTCCAAAAGAAAAAGAAAAAGAGGAAAAAAGGCCTGCATTCATGAGTGTATGTATAACCGTAGGTGTCTGAGCTATTCATTTTATCATTTATTTTTTACGCTGAAGAGATCTCGCGTTACGAACACCAATTGTTAAGCCCCTCAAGGATGTTATTAGCGGAACCCATCCATCATAACATAACGGCGGCTAGTGTACATGTGATATCGCCTCAGAAGCCATTGGAGGTCAACGTGAGCTTGGTTCGGAGGCAAAATATACTTGTCAAAGAGTTCTATCATTGATACGAGGCGTTCTAGATTTTCATCTAGTGCTGGATTGTCTTTGGAGCATTTGCTTAACTTGGGTATTTCCGCCATGGCCTGGAAAATTTTGTCTTGGATTTCACGCACATTGAACGTGTCACTGCCCCCATAAACTAATCGACAACGAAGACAAGATTTTGAAGCGAGGTTGACCCGACTTCCACATTCTGGGCATTTAATTTGGAACTTGGACGAGGAAGACATTGAACTCCAGTCCCCGTCACAAGCCTCGCAGTGGCATTCGAAACTGTACTTAAAACGAAGAAAAGCTCTTCGTGGTATCAAGTCCATTTCCACAAATGCTGGAAAATAATTCAGGGTCACCTCTTCACCTGCTTTGACTGAACGCAAGGCAGCCACTCTCACATGGCCCTCATTAGCCCTGTAGAATGCTGATGGGTAGCACGAGTGATTGAAGAGGGACAGGACCGGGGAAAGCCCGTATCCAATCAACTGTGTCTTTACATCCATGGGAGTTTTCTGCATCTGTGGGAAGAGGAGACATCAAGTAATTTTTTCGAATATCAGTATTGTGATCTATACATATAATGAAAAGGCACAAACAAGTAAATGAGATTGTTATGGTTTATATTATATTATGGTCTGTATGTTCGTACATCAGTTGGGTCAAATATCATTCATAATATGAAATACAAATACAAAATTTACATTACAAACGATAGGAGTCGTGGTGGCATGCAGTTAACTCTGGAAATACATCTTCCGTAAACTTACTTGACATTCAACAACTTCGTGGTTATTGCATGTAAAGGTGAGAATATGATGAAAGGCGGTGGTCCCTGAAAGTAACAGGTCCTCGTTGCCTGGCGTAAAAGCAACACCAGCATCATCAACGAAGTACTGCCGACTCTCCACCAGCAGCTTGGTAACAAGCACTGCTAAGACACACTGACTTAGGAGGTATGGAGCACACGATTGTTCCGCGTTCGTCGTTAGGTGGTAGAGCGTCCTGTAGTCAGAGCTATCGTAAACAGAATCATCGTTCAGTCCAAGATCAGCTTTGCTGCGGGTCTTCGCTTCTTCCCGTAGTATTGGCACAAGGTCCTTTACCTTGGCGTGAGTGGTCTGCATCAGTAAACGATATGACATCAGCATGTGCACGTGGCTCAGCAAGATGGGAAGCGCTTGGCATTCTTTTCCGTGGGAACCCGCCAGCCCCTTTGACCTACACGGTTCGCTGCAGAAGATCACCTGACGAAAGAGAGGTTTATTTTTATCTATATTACTTACAAAATAGATTTTATGCATACTTTATAAGGACCTAGTATGCTGATGTAACTGATATATTTAGGTATCAGATAAATCGAAATACCTTTAAATACTCACTGTCTGTATATATAACAAATGTTCAATATATATATTGCTCTACAGCATCCGTTCTTAAGTCAATAAATCCACAAAATACTCTCAGAATTCTCTTGCTTTTTCTCATTTCTATGGAAACACGTGCGATACACCCGAGTCAGCAGCTTACCAAAGAACAAGTCGGGCAAGGAACAGGAGCCAAGCAATGCGCCAGACACGAAGAACAGTTCGTTGCAACATGGGCTTCATCCAAACACATCACTGAACTATCTTCAACCAGCAAAACCTCGCCTGCAGCAAATCAAAGACTAAGTTATTTCGTTATTGTAAAAGTGTAAATATGACATCAAACAATCGTTTACAGTCCGTATTCCTGTCACGAAAGTATTCTTAGCCAGAAAGACAGTTTTGTGATAACTGAAGCAAGT